TTTTTTAGTTTTTTTTTTTTTTTTTAGTTTTTCTTTTAGTTCCATTGGATTGGGTCGGGTCATTTTGGCCCAAAAAACACAAAACCATTCACCAAAATATGCAAAAACAGATTAAACTTCAGACAGCATTAGACAAAAACAAAATCTAAATAAAAACAAAGGGAAATTTAGGGTTCCTTCTAATTACATTTCATTTTCCGCAAGAAAACACATGCATGTAAATGTAGGTCTAAAGAGATTCAACCAGTAAATGACAGGAAAATAAACTGAATAGTCTTTGATTTTCATTCATTTTCCAGCAATCATATACAAGCTTAAACATCCAAACTAAAAAAGAAAAACACAAGGAAAATCAATAGAAAATGACGAAAGCAAGCATGGTGGATTTTTTTAGAAGAAAATAGATTTGGATTTAATGGGAGGGATCCCACCCACGGGACCAAGCTCCCACCACCTCTTTCACTACCTCCCCTAAAAATCCTCTGTTTAGAAAATTACCTAAAAGAATAAAACCCAGAAAATGTGAACCCTCCGGTGACTCCTCTGAAACTCGAAGCTCGATAATTTTCCTTCAACCGCCGCTCCCAAAATAGAAAATCTTTCCTCTTCTCCCTTCTCGCCAAACTTCTATGGCCGTTCAGTGATGATGATGAATGTTGGGGCTGTAGTAGATTTCTGGCAAATCAAGAAAAATAAAATTAAATAAAATAAAACTCAAGAAATCAGGGAGAGTAGATTTGAAAGAAGCTGGGCAAAGATGATGGTAATGGAGGCTATGATGATGATGAAGTTGCTAAGAAGATGATGAAGATCGGAGTCAACTGGGCCTTGGGGGAGGCTAACCGGTTGTAGAAGATTTTAGGGATTTTTTTGGGTTAAATGTAACTTTTCATCTACTAATTATTATTGTATTTTCATTTTAGTCTAGATAGTTTATTTTTTTTCAAATTCATTTATAAACTATGAAAATCATTTCAAATTGGTTAAATACCCTTTTTGGTCCCTCTACTATAGGAAAAAGCCCCTTTTTGGTCCCTATACCGAAAAAATCCCCTTTTTGGTCCCTAAATTTTAAAATCCGGCCCCTTTTTGGTCCCTCCGTTAATTTTTGCTCACGTGGCACGTTAACTTAACTGGAACGGCTGATGTGGATATGCCAGCATGTCAAA